CCCCACTTCTTTTTTCACCGTATTAGTTTTATATTGACTCCGTGACCACACATTTTGCGGCTTACAACAACAAAAAAAATCTCTTATTTTACAGTTTCTGTAGGTCAGAAATCCAGAAACATTAAATGCTTAGTGTCTCTTAAGGCTGACGTCAGGGTTTTGGCAGGGCTGCATTCCTTATTAAAAGCCTCGGGGAAGAATCTTATTAGAAGCTTATTTAGGCTGTTTGTTTAGTTCAGTTCTCTGTGGTTGTAGGACTGAGGTTTCCATTTCCTTGTTGGATATTGGCTGGCAACTCCAAATCACATTACTGAAGCTATTCACACGACTTCTCATGCTTTTCATTTGGCTCGTTTAAGTAGTGGTGGTCAAGTGCCTCTTATGTTTTGAATCTCTGATATATCTGCCAGATTTTTCTGTCTCCAGCCTGAGATAATCCTATGCTTTTTACAGCTCATGTGATTATATTAGGTCCACCTGTATCATGTGAATGAAAGCGAACCCTTATCTTAAAGTTTATCTTATGGTCCATAATTTTAATTGCATTGTAAAGTTCCTTTTGCCATGAAACATAACACATTCATAGGTTTAAAACACGGACATCTTTTGGGAGGCATTCTACGTACCATATTTGCCTAAATAATATTTTCTCATTCCTTGAGAGTCATGAGAGCTATCACATGCACCTGAACATCTCCAACTGCCCTAGAATATTGCAAATTCTCCTATGTTTTCCCCTAAAATCATCCCTGTATCTCTTATCATTGCACTTATTAAACTGTTATGTTTGCTTAGCACTATTCAAAACTAGACTATTAATTGGCTACTTATACATCTATACATTCCCATGACTAAAACCATGTTTATCATTGAACGAATGTCTTGATTTATACTTACCCGTGTTAACATACACCTTATACCATAAACCTTCGGGGTAGGGATTGTGACCTTATAATAAATGAACTGTTTATTTTTTTTTTGTTTTTTTATATGCAAAAATTTAAACACAAGCACAAATGGCAAAGGAAAAATGTACACAAAATTGTGATAAATCCATGCGTATTGATGAGGGCTCAGGTGATTTCCTGATCTTTTCCTTTGAGAATCAGTGTGACTGTGAGAAGATCTAAAGGTTTATTAGGTGGTGCACTGAATTTTTTGGTCTGATTTTTCTGTAAGTGCGATTCTTTTCTTCTTTTCGTTTTTTGCTATCTTGTTTATTCATGTAAAAACAGAGTTTCAAAATACATGAAGCAAACAACAACAGCAATATATGAAACAATATCTTATATAACTGAAAGAATAAATAATCAAATCTACTATTCTATTTGGATTATTGAAAAGCCACTACATATTCATCTTGGTTAGTCTCAGATAAACATTAGGAATGTGAGAGGTTCTTTCTAAAGCTAGTTTTTCACTGTCCTCCCTGATGGGTTTCAAGTGTAAGTCACCTGTTACTAAGCACTATTTTTTCCAGATGTATCTGCTAGTGTTTTCCTAAAAATAAGTTGTTCAAGCTATTCTGAGTATTCTTATTATGCCGTGTACCTAGATCAATACCTATTCCCAATTGTTTTACTTTCAGGGCTTAACATTTGGGACTTAAATGTCCAATGAGATATGGCAGCCACTAGGCTAAATGCTTTTCATGAATTATGTTGTATAGTTATCTCAATCATTCTGTGCCATATTATTGCCTATTTTACAGTGAAAAAAAATGAAGCTGCATGTGGGTTAGAAACTTTCTCAAGGCAAGTGGTAAAACCTAGACTCAAACTCAGGTCCATCTAGCTCCAAACTTTATCAACTCCTTCCTATTACCTTGTGGTCTCCTGATTCGTATTCAGTAAACATTTGTGAAGAAGGCATAACAGTGCAATGTTCTCAACACCTTCTTAATCAGGGCAAATATTTTCTGTGATTTGTTGTATAATCGCAGTACGTGTGCGATCAGCTACAGCGTATCAGTGCTTCTTATCATGCTTAGGGTCAATTTTATGGATGATAAAAGTGTGAATTTCAAATGTCCTAGTAAGTTCAAATGCTAAAATTAATTTATATGGGGCTTAAGCACTCTTCGTAGTGTTTAGCATTTCTTATGAATACTGATTATATTTGTATAGTGGAAAGGTCATAGCTGACTTAACAGAAGATCTTGGACCTAGGTTTAAATATTATTCTGCTATTAACAAGCTATGTAAATTTTAGATGCCTTTTTTCCCTTCTAAACTCTAATTATTATTATTATTTTTTTTGTAAAATGAGGGGCTAGATACAATGTTCTTTTAGGTCCCTAGATCTGATCATTCCTACTCTGACATACCTGTAAATCAGGGAGGTGTGGGGCACTGTAGATGCTCCATATTCCCAGAAGTCCATGAGCACCTGAGCTCATAACAGCTTAAGGGACTTCCTAGATGCAGCCATATATTGCATAAGCCAGGGAGTTGGTAGAGGCAACTTGGGGCTAGGGGCAGGGCATGAAGGGCCCCCAGAACTGATCTTCCTTCCTCTACACCTTCTATGCCTAAAAATCTCTCAGGTAGGTAAGTCAAAGTGTCAGACACTCTAAATTCAGGCCCTTAGACACTCTGCCCCTAGTGTAGAAATCCCAAGTGCTGCAATATGGCAATTTTAAAGAGGAAAGGCACACCTAACCTGTCAGTTTTTCTCCCTGCATTTTCTCACCTTCATCACCTTCTCATTTCTATAATTTCTGTCTGTTGCTCTCGATCTCTGAAATCCCACCATGCTTCCTGCTTTACACGTTCCTTTCCCAGAAGAAATACTTAATCAGGCTACACTTTGGATATACATGCCTTGGTGTAAATAAACACTTTCATAATTTTCTCAGAAAAATCTGCTATGAGGGGATGCATAAAAAGACTAGCGCAGTTTTGGAAGCCACTTGTTAGGACCCCTACTTAGTGTTGAAAGACACCAAATCAGATATTTATGTACATTGTGCATGGAGGCAAACTAAAATGTATAGGAGGAGCTTCCAGGTTGGTAAAACAAAGGGGTCCTAAGAATACAGAATGAAGAAAAAATTGAATCCTGAGAAAAAAGAATAGAGTCCTGAGAGCAGATGAAGGAGCAAAGGCAGATGAAAGGCTGGAGTGAGGATGCAGAGCAGGCTTTAGAACTCAAAGATGCAAAAGCTTTCATCCTAAGAACTTTCACAACGGCTCACTTTTGGCTTTTCACAATCCCATTAGGTAAGTTGCTTAGCATCTCCAATTTACAACAAAGGGACTGAAGCCCAGAAAGGCTGAGTGACTTATTGAGTACTTCTTCTGGTCAAGCGCTTGCACTAAGCACAGCAGGGACCAAAACTATGAATGAGACTCAGGGATGAGATCTTGAAGCTGATAAGGCAGGAGGAAAGATAAGATTTACAAAGTTATAATGCAGTGCAGGCAGAGAAATGGACGAAAAAGGAGTTGCAAGCCTAGATCTGTGAGGGGTAGTAGGGAGTTACCTTTGAGGGTAATGACCAGCCAATTATTCCTGTAGGAAGGAATCCATGGACTTCAGCCCTGGATTATGGATCAAATGGATATGTTCATATAGTCTGGCAACTTCTAGGAGCTGGGAAGCTGCAGGTCAAGTTTGGGTAACAGCAAGTACACCCATCTGGATATCCTGAAGTACGAAGAAAATAATTTTGAGAGCTGAGACCAGAAATATTGGTTTGTGGAGCTGGGAAGCTGCAGGTCAAGTTTGGGTAACAGCAAGTACACCCATCTGGATATCCTGAGGTACGAAGAAAATAATTTTGAGAGCTGAGACCAGAAATATTGGTTTGGTGCCAACCATAGAGGGCATCTAATTTATTTAGGCTAGTGAGTTTGGATTTAGTCATTTGATAATGATGAACCATTTAAAATTTCTAATCAGAAAAGAGCATTTTCAGATTTGCTTTCTAAAAATATTAGTCCTACTTCAGGTTAGAGATGAATTGAAGAGAGGGGCAAGATATTGATTAGGATGCTTTATTATGGCATACTAATGTGGTGTTTTGGGTCTGAAGTGTACTACTGCAGGTGGAATGAAATGGAGAAAGGGGCTGACAAAGGCACTTTGGTGTTGGTATTTCCATTGACTGTTACCCAGTTTAATGTAACAGGTAAAGGAAAAAGAGTCAGTGATGTTTGAATTCTGAGTATCAGTCCTGGACTTAATGCTGATATCACTCAAAAAGTTAGAAGACAGATGAAAAACAATTCTGTGGTGTAGAGAAATGATTATCAATCCTATGCCTTTCAGGAGATAGGTACGATGTGGTTCTGAAAGAAATTACTTTCAGTAAGTAAAGTTACTCAGGGAGAAAAGTGATGCTGTAAGCTAAATGGGTAGAGTTAAAAAGTGGGTGGAAATATGAAAGTATAGTGCGTCTTGATGAATGTCTGGAAGGTTATCTCTATGAATGGTCATCTTTCTGTCCACTTATCTTTTGTCTGGATGAGTGGATGGAAGAACTGAGAGATTACATGGGGGTGGGAAATCTGGGAGTCAGTAGGGTGTTGGAGGTCCAGGAGCATGAAAGAATAGGAAGAGGAAAGGGTTATGATTCAATGAATAAGTGTTTCGCTCAAGAAGAGGGCATTGTAGCTGAGGACATAGTGATTAGGAGAGTTTGTCTTAGGTCTTGAACAAAGTGATACCACAGATTTACAATAATAATAATTAAAAAGAGTTCATAGCTTTAAATGTCAGAAAGAGCATAGTGGTGATAGATGTAGGTGTAAAGGAGGGTAAAATGAACTGTCTTGCCAGCTGGATAAACAGACGGCTCAGATGATTTCAGAAATCTTGGTAACAATGAGAGGTGAGGATGAGGGATTTAGTGAACAAAATAGATGAATGTGATAAAGTGAGGGTATGGATAGTATATGAAAGTCTTAAAATATTAGGCAGAGGCCATGCACACCACAGTATACTCTATTTGTCTTCTTTACAGGATAGTGGCCTAGAATCGAAGCAGCAGTGCCAGCATGGAAGGCAACCCCTACAACAGCTCAGGATTGCCTCCTTTCACCTTGACAGGACTCCCAGGGCTGGAGTCTTCCCAACACTGGATGTTTTTGCTCCTTGGTGCCCTCTACATTGTCTCTATTGTGGGCAATGCCCTTATCATTTTCATTATCAAGGAGGAACAGAGTTTGCACCAGCCTATGTACTACTTCCTGTCTCTGCTATCAGTTAATGACCTGGGTGTGTCTATCTCCACACTGCCCACGGTAGTGGCCACATTTTGCTTCCACTTACAAAAAATCAGTTTTGATTCTTGCATGGCCCAGATGTTCTTTATCCATCTCTTCTCCTTTATGGAGTCTGGGATCCTGCTGGCCATGAGCTTTGACCGCTATGTGGCCATCTGTAACCCATTGCGCTATGCCACAGTTCTCACTGATGCCCGTGTGCTGAGTATGGGAATGTCTATTATTGTCCGTAGTTTCTGCTTGGTTTTCCCACTGCCCTTCCTTCTGAAGAGGTTACCCTTCTGCAAGGTCAATGTACTCTCCCATGCCTACTGCCTGCATCCAGATCTGATCCGCCTGCCCTGTGGTGACATCACCGTCAATAATATCTTTGGTCTATTCATTGTCATTTCTACCTTTGGCGTAGATTCTGCACTCATTCTCCTCTCCTATGTGCTCATACTTCGCTCTGTACTTGCCATTGCCTCCCAGAGGGAACGGTTAAAGACACTCAACACGTGTGTGTCCCACATCTGTGCTGTGCTCATCTTCTATGTGCCCATGGTTGGTGTGTCCATGGCTGCTCGCTACGGGAGGCATGCCCCACGGTATGTACACACACTCATGTCCCTTATCTACCTTTTTGTGCCTCCAATGCTCAACCCTGTCATCTATTCCATCAAAACCAAAGAGATTCATCAGAGGCTTTGCAAAATACTATGGGGAACCAAGTGTTAAGTAGAAGCCATGTTGAGAAGCCACGACTCAGAGGATGTTTATCCTTAGTCCACAAATTTGAGTTTTCAAGATCTGCTTTGATAAGGCATATTTAATATCCTTTTGGGCACTGGCTTACCAGTAGGAGTCCTTTCATAAGAAGTTTTATGACAGTCTGGCAATAGTTAAGACTCAAGACAACAGATTTTTGCCAGGGTAAACTGGGCCATATAATAATTTGAGGTTGAAATATTTATATACTGATTTAGAGAGTGACTGTGGGAATGGAAAAAAGTCAATGAGTTAGAAAGATGTTCAGGAGGTGGAACCGAAAGGACATAATATTTCTGCATGTAGAGTTCCTAAGTCCCATGTCCAATACTTATTTATTGAGATCTCTCCTTTCTTCCCCTGGCTATTTATAATTTATCCTTCATGTCTCATTCTAAACTAATTTTCCAGATTATTTTATGTCTCTCCCTTTGAAGTGGTTCCTATTCCTAGCACCCTAAACCTTTTACCTGAAGCAAACAAATGGATGGAATTTTTATTTGTTTAGCCTGTTGTCCTGATCACTGTGAGAGCAGAAAGAAGGCTTAGCCTGTTGATTGTTATATCTCCACACTTCCTTTAGTGCAGTTCTGTCTCTCAGCACGAATTTACACTAACTAAAAAAATGCCAGAAACGTGTAATATTATTAACTTACAATGAGAAATAGTATTACTGCATGGGCAAAAATTATCTTGTCAACTTGACTAGCACATTCTGCATAATGAGAGACACACCATAATTATATTTTTGGGAAAACAAGAAAAAAGAGGCAAAAGGGCTCAAATATATGGTTCAAAAAAATTATGTTTTAAATTAAGATTGATAGGTATCAATTTCAAAACACCAGTGGGTTGGCATATTAATCCTTATGCTCAGTGGGCTTGTTTGTCTTCTCTTTATAACTGCTTAATTATTGATGCTATCTTTCAACACTCTTTTTTCTTTTCTTTTATTCCCCTTTTCAACTGGTGATTGTGTGTTCGGGGGGGAGTGTTGCTTTGACTCCCATGGATTTGTCACCCCTTTTCCTCTGGGTGATGGAGCCACCAAAGATTACTCAAAGCCCATCTCTTCTGAGCAATGAGAAGCCCCCAAAAGGGGTTAATCTCCTGGAACCCTCAAGCGAGAGGTATTCCTTCCATTTGGGAAATTAGCCATGAGTTGGTGTTCTCTTCCCACATTTATTCTCCAGACCAGGAAGTTACAGGAAAAGAACATAGGTGGGGTTTTTGCTAAGTACAGTTTAACAAGTTTAACAATAGAAGCTGGTAACATTCAGTAAGACCAGCAAGGTGACCTTTCATAGTGCAATTTTCAAGAAGTTAAGTTGATCCACCAACAAAAGCTTGATCATAGCAAACATTCTCTTCAGCAATTTCCCAGTATCTTTACATACCAATCAGTAACCTGTCTTTGAGCCAGCAACCTTTTTGTGTTACAATTCTTTATCTTACAACAGAGACTATAGCCTGGGGAAAATTTCCTGTCCTTTCCAAAGTCAATATTTGAAACTTCAAGGCTTTGGAAAACCAGGCCCTGTGAAGTGCATTTTTTTTAATGCATACTCCACAGGTGAGGGAGGTGGGTGAGTGGTATATTTGTTTAGAATCATGGTTTATCATACAAGATTGAGATCTTGACTAACCCAATAATTTTATAAGGCAAGTTTTAAAACCTCTCTGAATCTCAGATATTTAAACTATAAAAGATAGATAAAAATCATAACTTATAGGCTTCTGTGAACATTAAATAATACATATAAAGATTCCACTAAGTTTATGGCACATAGTAGGTGGTCAATAAGTGGTAACTTTTTTATAAACCATATTTATAATCAGGTTAAATCAGTTAAATATTAATTGTCCAGGGATCAATTTTTTTTTATAAAGGTGTCTTTTTATTTCTCTCTTTTGATCTCTTGTGGCTGATTCAATGATCAATTATAAAAACACAGACCTATCTTTCTCATTTTCAAGTAATGAGAGACACTTTCCCTTGCATACCCTCTCCGCACACTTATGGACATAAACACAGATGATACAAGAAGTCGCTAATAACAGCCTTTAGAGGCACTAAATCCTGAACAGCTTTGGGGTTCCTCTATATGACTTTTAAAATAAACAAATGGGATTATGTCAAACTAAAAAGCTTCTGCACAGCAAAAGAATCAACAGAGTGAAAAGACAACCAACAGAGTGGGAGAAAATATTTGCAAAATATACATCTGACAAAGAATTAATATCCAGAATATACAAGAAACTCAAACAACTTTAGAGTAAAAAACAAGTAACCCAATTAAAAAATGAGCAAAGGAGCTGAATAGTCTTTAATCAAAGGAAGATATACAAATGGCTAACAGGCACATGAAAAAATGCTCAACATCATTCAGCATTCAGGAAATGCAATGTTCCCCAATGTTCATTGCAGCACTCTTTACAATAGCTAAGAGTTGGAACCAGCCCAAATGTCCATCATCAGATGAATGGATAAGGAAACTGTGGAATATCTACACAATGGAATACTACTCTGCTATAAAAAAGAATGAAATACTGCCATTCATAGCGACATGGATGGACCTAGAGAAAATCACATTAAGTGAAATAAGTCAGGCACAGAAAGAGAAATACCACATGTTCTCACTTATTTGTGGGAGCTAAAAATAAATAAATATACAAACAAATAAATGGTGGTGGGGGGAAGAAGACACAATAATCACAACAATTCCTTGAACTTGTTAAGGACAGTGAACAGATATGATGTTGACAGGGGGAGGGGGAGAAGGTGGGGAGAAGAGGAATTGGTAAGGGGACAGGAAAATCAACTACACTGTATATTGATAAATTAAAATAAAAATTAATTAATTAATTAATTAAACCCTAAAACAGGTGTAAGAAAGGTCAACATCATTCTAGCTTTCCCATGAGGAAGACTTCGATGTTTTAAAAATATTGAATATATATAAAGTGTTTGAATGTTTTACTTCTCTGTTCTTCTAAATGCGTATGCTTACTCTGTCCATTTATTAGTCCAGTACTGATTTTAGGCACTATAAAATTTATTCATGAAATTTTTTCTGATGATTAAATATGCTAACCTATATCAAGTAAACTAGCAGATTCCCAGGTACTTAGTTGATGCTCAGTAAATATCATTTGTCCTCCCCTCATTCCCCAGCCCTACTGATAAGAGATAGCATAGACAGTGGGGATGATTTGGGTCTTCATCAGGATAATTATGTTCAAGTTCTGACTTCTTAAAATAATTTCTCTGTGTATATCAGTGAGCTTCTTACCTCTTAAAGTCTTAATTTTTCTCCATTACAAAGGTCTGGGTGTGATACAATATGGCCCAACTAGACTCTCCTAGTTGTAAGACCCTTACATTACTATCTAAGAAATCATCCTGCCCCCAGAACCCCCAAAGCCACCAGAGTCAATGGGCATTCCCACCTTCTATTCAAGCTTTTTTCTGGCAGATGAAAAATCAGCAAATCTTTAACAGCAGTTCTGGTGTCATAAGCACTTACCATGTGATATTGTTTTACATCTGCTTAGATTTAGAGGAATTTGTACTCCATTTTACAAATGAGGAATTTGAAACTTGAATAACTAAAACTTTTTTTATTTATTTATTTATTTTTTTTATTTTACAACTCTCAGTTAGACAGGGAAGGAGCTGGTTTTGAGTTCAGGTCTGGCTATAGAGTGCCAAATCGTCCCAGTTTGCGGAGATTGAGGGCTTTCCCTTCATGGGCTTTCAGTGCTAAGACAAGTACAGTTTTGAGCAAGCCAGAATGGTTACTCTAATTAGGCTCTTAGTGGTTATGCTATTTTAACCTCTTGAAATCTATTTGAGTTGTAGCATGATTAGTAGAAAAAGCCCAAATCTGTTTTTAGTTTTTTGAGGAAATTTCATGCTGTTTGCCATAATGGCTGTATTAATATACAGTCATGATCTCGCTCATATATTGAAACTAATAGAAGTAGAGAGTAGAATAGTGCTTCCCAGGGACTGAAGAGGATGGGTGGGGATGGGGGGGGGAAGGTGTGGGAGAGGTTGGTCAGCGGGTACAAAATACAGTTAAGAAGAATAAGTTCTGGTGTTCTATTGCACAGTAGGGTGGCTCTATCTAATGGTTATATCTAATAACAACGTAGTATGCATTCCAAAGTAGCTAGAAGAGAGGACTTTTGAATGTTATCACCATAAAGAAATAATAAATGTTTAAAGTGATGGATATAAATTTACCCTGATTTGATCATTATACAATGTATACATGCATTGAAACATCACGCTATACCCTATAAATATGTACAACTATCAATAATGTGTCAATTGTAAACTTAAAAACAAAAAAAGATAGAGACCAAATCTGAGAGTCAGAGGAAGTCAGAGAGAATCAGTGGATCTGGTATTCAGTTTTAGTTTGTTGTTGACATATAGGATGGATTCTTTCTGGGCTTCATATCTTCTTTGACAAAATGAACAGCTGACTATTTTGATCTCTACAGGACAACTCAGTTCTCACTCGATTTCTTTGAAACCTCTAAAGGGGGAAATGACAGGGCTCAGAGGAGCCATCCACTCAAGACTTTTCATGTTGCCTCCTGCTCCAGCACCTCTTTGAGCCCCTGGACTTACCAGACCCTGGGAACTCTTAAGAGGCAGCTTTATAGAGCTCGGAGTGAGAAGTGGGTGAAGCTCACAATGGGGCCGTGTGCAGAGTACGTGGATTCCCTGGTGTTTCTTCCCTTAGCAAACACATCACCTACCTCTCTCCTCCCACCCACTAAAGCTTCCTTGAGGAGGTAAGTTGGGACTCCAGCTTTTCCCTCATAGAGGCTCTCAGGAACCTCATTCATAACTTCAAAATCCTGAAGTGATTAGGGTACAAAGATTTGAAGAAGGAGAAGTCGTCTGTAATTTAAGCTTAGAAATTTTTTTCCTGCACCCCTCTTCAGTCCCCAGT